GGGGAACATAGCAAATTAGAAGCATCTTTTGGCTATTGTTTTGAGTGCTTATGATTGGGCAAAATCTTTTAATACAAAAGAAACTTTGTTTCAAAACAGAGTTTATCCACMTTTTATTTTAAAARTGTGTTACCCATAGGTTGAYATATAATCRRYGTGAAAACMAAGACATTCGTATGTGGGGAAGTTGCAATTGCCGCAGAACAATAGACGTTTGCCTGCTTTTTGCGCGCATTGTTACTTAACCTTAAAAAAATGTCAAAAATCGGAAATTCCTGMGGGGTCGCAGGGTCAAAAACAAAATATCCTTCGTTGTGGGGGGAAGGATATTTTCTGGAACTACACAATATAAATCAACAGGCGGCCATTCAACCAATCCAGCAACTTGAAAAACCTGGCCTCTGAAACCCCCCTTTTTTTCAATTTCCTGGCTTGCAACGGTGAATCTCAAAATTTGGACCTTTTCCTGGCTGGCAAATTCGTATTCATCATTTTGCTGCTGGCTGGAAAATTGGTATTCATCATTTTGCATCTGGYTGGCAAAAATTCTACACATTTTCTGGCTGCCAGTGCAGAGCGGGTTTGTTTTTCCCAGGAACGTTAACTATAATCACCGTGGGAACATTTAGTGATGCAGTATTATGCATCAGTCAATTGAAACCCCGGCCCCCCAGCCCCCGGGAAAGTCCGGGGAAATTAACATTTGTCAATTGTTAAAGTAAYGTGTTTTCCCCAGCCCTCGAGGGTGAAACAGCTGTTAAATGCCCGGCCCTGGGAGCCCCGCCCTATTAGGACATTCATGACCTCATGAAGACAGAAATAAGTAAGAAAGCCAACAAATAGTAAAAAAAATAAACAAGTTCATTAATTGTTTACTTTAAAACACATAAACATGTTTAAAAACTTCAAAAAAGTGTACGTTTCACCGTACCTTATGTTCGTGCAAGTTGTTGGCAGCCATTTTGGATGCATGACACTCTTGTTTCCAGACTCACTAATTTTTCACGATCCTCGGCCCAGTCTCCGGCCAGTGTTAATGTCCCCGGTAAAATCCCGGCTATTTTTAAAATCTGTTAATTACCCTGCCCCCCTTGGATTGATGTTATTAAAACAGCGTTAAATCCCCGGATAAAATGTGATAATTCCCCGGCCCTCCCCGGGGGTTGGGGRGCCGGGGTTTCAATTGACTGATGCATTAGGTCATACAATCAATTTGAAAGAAAGTTGTCGTTGGGGTCTCTTATTAGGTCATACAATTAATTTGAAGGAAAGTTGTCGTTGGGGTCTCTTATTAGGTAATACAATCAATTTGAAAGAAAGTTGTCGTTGGGGTCTCTTATTAGGT